GGCCAGGGGAATTATGGTTTCCCGTATGTCTTGTTCCTTTGCCAAGGAAAACTATATGTTGACTTGTTGAAGACGAAAGGTCTTTATATTTTGCTTCACCTTATGAGGTTAATAGACTTTGGATTGCCACCTTTCCTGTGTTTTCGTGTTGGAGTAGAGTATAAGAGGTTGTGTTGTCAATTTTGCATAATACTTGGAATATGTTGGTGATGGATGATGTTTTGAATGTTTTCGGCTTACGATTGCCGTTTAAAAACCGGCTTACATGTAGTTTAGGGATTTCGGGTTCATTAGGGTTAGGGTTGGTAGTGGGACCTAGGAATTAGTAAAAAGTACTAAAAACCTTAATTAAGATTTTTTGTTGGCGTGATTTTTACAAAACTTGTGGCGCTAGTCGAAACCCGAGGTAGGATTTCCGTTGCAGATTTCTTTTGGTGCTTTTGGAGAGCGGGAATTGGGGATTTGGTAGTCTTTTCTCTTTTGGAAGATAGTGGTTTTCTACAGGGGAGGGGCTCCACCCGACGAAGTGGGATTGGAGACCTTGCGACCCCTGAATTTGCAGTTCTTTGACATTGTATTTCTGCCTTCAAGTTGGGCGCTGACCCTAAAAAACTATTGTTTCGTTAAAAAAAAAGTAAAAAAAGTATGAATTATTAGAAAGTGAAAAAAGGACGAATTAAAGGATGCATGTGACTGGGAGGGGGTACCGGCGGTCCGAGGCGTTTCGGCCGGGGCGGTATCGGTCGGGCCAAACGCCGCTTGCTCTTCGGCAGGCCTAATCGACGATGGACGATTCCGACGTGGAACCGTCAGCGTAGGTGGTAGCTCCGCGTTTTCGTGTTGACGAAGCCCATTGGCCAGCGCCTTTGGGGATGCTACTAGCGGTTAGAGTACGCCACCATTACCCCGCTTGCCAAATTGTATTCAGAGTTATGGAAGATACGGTGGAGTTTTGTTCCTTCGTACTAGGTGTTGTTAAGCTAGTGCAAAGAAGCCAAGATAGAACCCGAACCACGGGCGCAAGGTGAACGGGAAGGAAGAGCCCAAGTTCCAAGTGACTATCGCTTGGAGGAGGAAAGAGCAAGGGAGATGATAAGAGCATGCTATAAGGAAGGCATTATACCAACAGACATCGATCCAAGGGAAATGGAAGTGACAGGGTGAGAAGTTAGATTTATCTTGAACTCAACGCTCGATGAGATCAAGATAAAGTGGTTGAAGGAGAGGACGGTCACCGTCATTTTCCGTGATGGTGCCCGTTTTCTCCCAAAGAAGGTTAAGGAAGACGTTGTAAGAGCTTATGAAGATGTGTGGATGCGGGACGAGACCTTCGGGCAAGAATTCAAGCGTTGGAGGATCAAGGTGGAACGTCTGAACGTGGTATCGTACGTCCCAAGGGCACAAGCCATCTCCGATTGAATGCTCATGAAGAAAACAAACTTCGTTGACCTTGCTGGTGCAACTTACAGAACCGAATTCAAGCCATGGTTGAAGAGAGTAGAGATTAGGGATTGGAGGCAATTGATAGATCAGGACACCTTCTGGGTGGTGGTTGTTGGTGTGCCTCTAGACAAAATGCGCTTTCTCCATGTCCATATGGAGAAGGCCATCGGGAAAGTGGTGAAGCAACATAAATCGGAAACAGATGAATCGGACCCAAAGTTTGTGAACTTGAGATTTGATATCGAACCAGCGAGCAGAGCAAACATGAAGGATAAAATTTTCGTTCAAACTTGTACGCGCTGACTCAGCATGGTGTAAGAGATGTCGTACTTTCTTTCATACGGAGCTCACCTACAGAAGGACGGATCGTCGGAATAAAGGAGGGACTTGTTCGAGCCAACCACAATCACCGTCAGCACCAAGGGCAGCGGAACCGTAAGCGGGGTATGCTGGCCCGCTAGGTGCACCGAGACTCTCGGTAGTACAACCCACTTTGGGGGTTCAACAAGAGGCGGCGAGTTCGAACCTTCCAAATGGAGCAGCGCTTCGGATCAACCCGACCTTCTCACCTGGTTACCAAGTACACTCTCATATGGGAGCAGGAATGACTCAAAGCTAGCTTAATCAAGCGATACCATCTTTGGACGCCACTTGGGTAGCTTTTCTGAAAAACCTACCTCCGCACCCATTCAGATCGGCGCCATAATAATGGGATGCCGATGTCGAATGTGCAGTTAGGCGTGAGCCCTTCAGTTGCAAATTTACACGCATTTATGTTTTGGAACCATGGCATGATGGACTTGCCTCATGACAACGCCAGAGTGGGCTTCCTCAAAACGTGACGACCTCGACCGGACATCCTTAGGAGAGACAATAAGCAAGCCCGACTCTGTCTGGGACCTTGACTCCATGACAAAGTCGTTTTCGTCAACGGGGCGAATCCCCAGGGAAGCAACGAAGGCCAAGCGACGCAGGTATTGATATTCGGGTAGATTAATTGCATGCAGAACCCTCAAGCAACTCTGATGGCTCACAACCACAGTCTTCTACTATAGGTAAGCGCAAATCGTCAGGACCTCGGATGGATGCCTTATCAAAAGGTTAATCAGCGGTTGAATCAAGGTTGTTGTCACTGATGCTTATTGTCGCTAGAAATTTATTCGGGGTAGTAGCGTGGTTAGGCTTGGATAACTCTCTTTTGTTTCTTAACGCCCCCTACCCAGAGTCTCCAATGCCACAAGCAACGGAAACCCTGACCAGGTCAATATTCCATAACAAAATTTCCTTCATACTTATTGAAGTTGCCATGCCCTGCTTTCTAATTGATCTTGAAGGGAAAAGAGCTCGCCTCTATACCCCACTGCTTGATGCACGCATCAACGCAACTCATATGGAACAGTTGGAAAGAGAAGGCCTCAGATTAGTCCCGTTAGCTTGGTTGTTGGAAGGCCAGAAGCCTGATCTGAGACGAGTCAAACTGGCACCCTCTGTAACCGCAGAATGTTTGAGAATCTAAACTCCAAATTGGAAAACGAAAGGAAACTTGATTCTCCCTTCCTGAAACAAGTGTTGTCAGAAGCATGGCTGATGTCAACCTCGACTGCGGAGGGAACCTCCCAGATCCAACAATCTGGGGTAACTGCTCCGAATGGGCAGGCTTAAGGTAGCTACTTCGAATGTGCGCGGGCTAGGGGACTCAATAGGCAGAAACAAGAAAGGTCGTTTGAAAACCTGGATGCCGGAGAAGAAAATTGGCATCCTCTGTCTATAGAAAAGTAAGTTATCAGAGCATAAGATATTGGAATTAGGTTCCTGGTGAGATGGTCCACAACTGTGAGCCCCTGCTAGACGATCTAAAGGTGGAGTAGCAATCCTAGTTCACAAGAACTTAAATGCTGAAATTATCGATTTCGGTGAGGACTTGTGGGGAAAATGGTCGTGGATTGAAGTGAGGATTGAGGGTCAAGAGTGGGTAGTAGGTTTCATTTATGCTCCAACGGATCCTGCTGAACGTGCTATTTTTTTTAAGGATATTCCATTGTTTGTCCCCAACTGTGACAATCTAATCATTGTCGACGATTAAAATACCTCCTTGCACGCACGGCCGCGGCCGGGGGGTCCGAGTCGGCCGCGGCCTAGGCCGATGACCGAATCGGCCCGGTTCGGCCTAGGCCGACCTGCCGAGTTCGGTACATTATTTTTTTTTCCCATTTTTTATGTGCAAAAAAAAAATAAAAAAATACGGGCGTGTAGGGCTGGAAAATCCCTACATGCCCATATTTGTTTTTGGGTGTCCGACCTTCGACGCGGCGCAGAAAAAAAAAA